CAGCGAAGTCTGCAGCTGCCAGCGACCGGCAGTGAGAATGAAAGGTTCGGGTTCGCGAGTCTGGCTTTGCATGTTGAGAGATTTTGGGGGCTTGACATGTGGGATGCTGATTTAGCTCCGAGGGTTGTTTCGGCGGTTTGAAGGGTAAAAACTGCAGTAGTTGAATTGGGCTTTAATAAAAAGCGCTGAGCGTTCATGGGCTTAGCCAAAAGTTTGGGAGTAAGCGGCTTTCCGGCTGCCACATGCTATAGTTAACCTTTCCGGGCTAAAGGGCTCCGGTCGGCCTGAGGCCTTCGCTTGAAACCGTGGATGACTTACTTGTGGATCCGTTCAGAGTTGTCAGCCGACGCCGTAATTTCACCCNNCAGACCCAGAGCCATGGACCTGGACAATAAATCCTCATGTCGAGTTGCGAGTGCCAAAGGCTCGCAAAACCCAAGTACCAAAACCTCCCAAATCTCAGCCCAAATAAAGCTGCAAGGACAAAACGACCAACGTCCCTATCTCCTACTATAATTTCTGTTTTCCGGACATGCCCATAGTAAATTCCCAAGCCGGGACCCGCAATCGCCAACCCTGTTGGTGTTCAGCCTCGTGGTGACTTTCAGTTTTGCATGTTGGACGAGCAGGATTCAGGTCAGCAGGTTTGGGGTTTATAAAAGGGATCGCGTCTGCTAGAGGTTGGGCGTTTCAGTGCTGAAGCTCGAGTTTGGACAGCAGCCTTCGAACCACATGCCTTAACTGAACCTTGTCTGTGTCCTCTAGGCTGGGTTTTTCGTGTCAGACAAATCAAATTCCTGACTGACCACGGCGGAGGCTCTTGTGGCCCTGGGGATCTGCCGGGCTCTCGGTGGAGTTGGAGCTGGGAAGTGCTCAGGCCTTGAGAAATGTGTGAGCAGGATAATTGCGAAGTTCATTTACATTTAGACGGTTAAATTCAGTGGCCCCAAGCTCTGCATGCTCCAAGTTTGCAGTCCAGTTCAGGAGCACAAGGTCCAGGGTCTCGGGCTTTTCTGCAGGTCTTAGCGATTGGTGGTTTAAGTCCACCTTGGAGGTGGGATTGTTATCAGGCTGCGGGAAGTTCAAGTACT